AGCGCGGCGCTGCGCCTCCGCGGACGGGGCGCGTGGGGGAGGCGCTTTGCGCTGGCGCCACCTGCCGGCCGGAGGTCCGCGCGGCGGAGGGGCCTGCGCCGGCTCCTAAATGATGGAGTGACTATTCCTGCAGTCGTGTCAAATTCCACAGCGGACACGAACGGGGAAGGAAGGGCACAGCGGATGAAAATCACATTTCGCCAAAGTTACGTTTACAGTGTGTGCTGTTAATCAGAGGAAAAAAAGAGCGTTTACACGGACGCGCGGTAGCCCAAATGAAAACTGAGATAGCAGCATGGAGCAACACGGACATTGTAACACTCACTAAACCCTACATTTGAGGATTCCCAGCAGCGGGCCTTGCTGCCGGCCATGGCAGGGGCAGGAACGAGAAGGGTTTAGCTCAGACGTGGCTACAGCGTCCAAGTGGAGCACTGGGCAGAGACGGCCGTCTCATCCTCATTTCTGGCACTGGGTCCGCTGCATTTAAGGAAGAGTCACCCAATACAATTATTGGATTAAACTGTAAGTAGATAAAAGAGACCAGATAATCAACAGTTTGTACTTACCTTCACACCTACAAAATTTAATTAGAATCGTAGAATCACAGAATGGTTTGGGTTGGAAGGGACCTTAAAGATCATCTAGTTCCAACTCCCCTGCCATGAGCAGGGAAACCCTCCATGACACCAGACTGCCCAAAGCCTCATCCAACCTGGCCTTGAACACTTCCAGGGATGGGGCAGACACAACTTCTCTGGGCAACCTATTCCAGTGCCTCACCACCCTTAGAGTGAAGAATTTCTTCTATAGATCTAATCAAATCTGCCCTCTTTCAGTTTAAAGCTATTGCCCCTTGTCTCATCACTACACATCCTTGTAAAAAGCCCCTCTCCAGCTTTCCTGTAGGACCCCTTTAGGTACTGGAAGGCTGCTATAAGATCACTCCGGAGCCTTCTCTTCTCCAGGCTGGACAGCCCCAACGGCCTCAGCCTGTCTTCATTGCAGAGGTGCTCCAGCCCTCGGATCACCTTCGTGGCCCTCCTCTGGACCTGCTCCAGTAGCTCCATGTCCTTCTTGTGTTGGGGACTCCAGAGCTGAATGCAGTATTCCAGGTGGGGTCTCACAAGAGCAGAGCTGAGGGGCAATTAATTAATAACTTTGCTCACTCACAGCTGAAGGCTTGCACATGTCATCTACTGATCAGCAGCAAAACTGACCTTTTCCCAGGCCATGAAGCAACTTTATTTCTTACTGGATTATAGTTACCAACGTTTCCAAAAGCAGCTGAAAGAAGAGGCTAATACAACACCTCTTTCCCCATCATTTCTGAAAGGCAAATGCCACCTGAGGCCCTGAAGTTCCCAACCGGGTACCAAGGCACCGAGCTGCCACTGCACTTGGCACCCAAACTTATTTCTCGATATTGGATTAGCAGCTGTTTCTGCTATTTCAAAACAACTGCTGGGCTTTCCACACCTTTTTTTTTTTTTTCTTCTGACAAGTTAAATAAAAATTATTATATTTCCTTCCTTGTATTGTAGATAAATCTGGTTGGTAGTTAACCATATTGCAGCATGGCCTTATTCACCTGTATTTATTTACTTCACTCTGTGCTTAACTTTTATTCACTTATTTAGGAGATGCTCAGCAGATAAAATGACACCTATTTGCTCAAGTTGTTTGTCATTACTGCAATCTCCCATTACATTTTACTGTTTTGTCCAAACCTTAAGATGTGTTCATAAAGAAAATTAAGCAAATTTTTGGTTGAAACAGAAAACTCGATAGTGTGATTTAGTAAAGGCTTTGATTTTTGTTAAAATTGTAAGAAAAAAAAGATTACACTTTTAGCTAGCAAAAAAAAATAATCCAGAACTGCCCATGTCCTTTTTTAAAAATGAATATGCCTTTACATTTAAATTTCCCTGATCTGGCAGACTGAGCACCACTTCCAAGCCCCAAAAGTGCAATGCATTATATAAGGAACAGAGGGGAACCTCATGATTCATGAAAGACTTTATTTATTTTTATTAGAGGCAACCACCTGGAATTATTATTTTTGCAAACTCATCAAGCTCTATCTGAAAATGTCTTCAGTTGTTCTTACTTATAATGAAACAAAATACATGGTGTTTACTTCACAATTTCCTCCAGTTAATTCTCCCTTCAATTGCGCTCTCTTCTCCACCATTTACAACACAACTTCTAAACAACTAGTCTCTATCAGATTTAGCTTTCCTAAGCTCATCTGTTTTCCTCTTTGCACGTGTTCTTTTGGATTTTTCTTCAAATAAATGATCAGAATTGTACAGCAATGCAGGTAAAAATTCCTCCACACTTGTATAATAACATTAGTATTTCCCAGAAATACTTTTCTCTGTTCATATCCAGATAACGTTCTTTTTCACAACTGTATCAGGTGATGAACTCAATCATTCTAAGATCTGAATCACTTATTTTCAAATGGCAACTTCCCAGCTTGTAGTAAAAATATCTGTAACTGTAGACCACTTAAATAACTTTGTTGATCTGCCCATAAATACATGCATCTATTAATGAGTTTCAGTCCACTCTTGGAAAATTGCTGCAGGACCTCTGGAAGTCATCTGGTCCAAACCCCTGTTCAAGCAGGGCCACCTACAGCTGGTTGCCCAGAACCATGTCCAGATGGCTTCTGAGTTATCTCCAAAGAGAGAGACTCCACCACCAACCTGGGCAACTGTTTAAAAAAAAAAAAAACAAAACATAGAACGGTTTGAGTTTGAACGGACCTTAAAGATCACATAATCCCAATGCGCCTGCCATGGGCAGGAACACCTTCCAACAGACCAGGTTGCTCAAACCACTCGCGCCGGGTTTCCAACCTGTTTCCTACAATACCAGAAAGCATCTGCAAGATTTCATCTACACTTATAAAGAAAAGCATACATTTGAGAGCAGTAAAAAAGCAGTAGCAGTTTCATGTTTATATTCTCTAAACTAAGCTGCAGGTTGTCTCTGCTGTTTCATGGACTGAACTGTAACACGAGGGGATAGTTAGCACCAGCCCTTTGCCCCTGCCTTTCCTCGCACAGGAGTGTAACGCCGCTGTTATCGACACCACTGAACATATTACAGTCAGCGATGTCCACACAGAGCTTCTAGCACCATACAACTCTAAAACAACCAAAGATTTGTCTAGATTTGAATATAAAGTGGAAGAAACATCCACCTGTCTTCATCATACCAGGTAACAACTGCTGTTTGGCACAAATGGTCCTTATATACATGGTATTTTAGATGCACAGTAAAGCTCTTTAACAAAATAAATTTTACAGTTCAAGATAGTGCTAAGATTTTTCAATGTAACTAGACAGTATTCTCAATACATCAGCAAGAGGTTAAGTTCACAGTTCTTCGAAAGGTAGGATATTGTCTATTTTAAGAAACAAAGAGCAAAGTTAACTACCAGCCTGAGAAAGATAATGCATTTCATACCAGACTGACATTAGACATTTACACAAAATCGAAAATTAAGGATTCTCAGTATCATAAAATATCTGATTTAGAACCTCGTTACCATTTCTATCCAACTACTCAAAGAATTATAAAAAGTACAGACAACTGCCTAATAAACCCTTTATATATACAAACATAAAAAAAACACGTTTCACATCCCAGTTATCCAGTGACAACACTAATCTTTTGTTTCTGTAATTTTGTGAGATACTATTCTTTTTCTTGTACAGGTATTGCAAGAGAACCTGGGAGTAGAGAATGCAACTTTCAGCATATGGGAGGTAGCATTAAGCCTCCAAACACACTGCCGACTTTTAAATGGAAAGTTATTAACGTACAATATAATGCGCACTTCCCTCCCTCCCTTTAAACATTCAGTTAGACATTTTTTCCAAGAAAATAAGTGGCGCAGAATAACTGGTTTCAACTAATGAACAGTGGCCAAATCGTAACTGACCTCATGGTATTAAAAAGTTATTCGGCATGAAAATGTGCCTCCAACATCTTCCCTAGCACAGCCTGTGCTAGAACTGAAGCTCTCAGAAGAACCTGGAGCAAATCAGTATCCTGAGTTCCACCCTCTGCACCAAAACGCTGGATGCGTCCTTTACCAGCCATCGTTGTGGAGACAGCAGAGGAACGTAAAGCAAATTCAAGACATGCAAACCTCTCCAGAACTGAGAGCCGACTCGCAATTCCCAAGCTTATATTCCAAGCTTATGCTGCCGCTTATGCTTTTCCAGAAGTTTTCTGGTAGGCAGCACCGCATTACACTTTCCACACTTGTTCTTTTTTGTGTGTGATTTTACATGCCTTTGCAAAGCACGTTTATCCATCGTGGAAAACTTACACTTTCTGCAGTGCAACTTTACATGAGTCAGCAAGTGGCGCTTGAGGTGGCTGGATGAGCGGAAAGCAACAGCACACTGACCGCACTGGAACGGCTTCTCCCCCGTATGAATTCTCATGTGCAGCTTCAGGTTTCCACTGTGGGTTGTGCAATAGCCACACTCTTCACACGAGTATGTTTTGACAGCTACCTGCTGTTGCTCACAGAGACGGCCAGTAGATGAGCCTTCCTCACAAGAGTGTGAAGCCAGATGCTGTTTCAAGGACAGCCATTTGTTTGTTGAATAGTCACAGTTCCTGCACTTGAGATGCTCCATATTAAAATGCGTGACTCTGTGTCTTTTCAGGTGACTGGAAGTACGAAACTTCTTCTGACAAACACTGCAGCTGTAAGGTTTCTCACCTGTGTGAGTTCTTATGTGTAGTTCAAGGTTGCTCAAAATGGAAGTAGCATACTCACACTCTGCACACTGATAGAATCGTGGCGGACTTTGTACTAGCAAACCATTTGTTTTGCCCCTCTGGACATCTGGCTGTACTCCACAGACTTCCGAACCAAGCAAGGAATGGAAGCTGTTTGAACCTTCCAAGGAAGCAAAATCTCTTTCTGGACACTTGCCTACATGCATTTCACGATGCAACTCAAGATTCTCTACAGCGCTATCTCCACAGAGGCAATGGTCAAACTCGTATCCATTCTTTACGTGAATAAGCCTGTGCTTCTGCAAATGGTTTGACGTTTTAAATGTCTTATTGCATTCTTCACACACAAACGGGCTTTCATCTGTATGTATTTTCAGGTGCAGCTCAAAGTCACTATGAAAAGCAGTAGCATAATTGCAGTGTTGGCACCTGTATGTTTTGTATGTAGACAAAGTGGAAGGCCACGTGTCCTTCAAGTTTTCCACAAATTTATGATATGCGTCATCATCTTGCGCTTGTGAACAAGAGGCCTTGGAATTGAAGAGAGGTTCCTCTTTGCAAACGACAGTGTCCGTGTTGCATGAATTCAGAAAAACTTGCAATCTGTTCCCAGTAACAGATAAGCTGTTGCTTCCATGGCTGTTTTCAGGGGATTTCTTTCCAGAGCACATTTTCTCATTGTCCCGCACATCCCCTGCCCGCTCAAAGTCTACTTCTGAAGCCAGCATTCCCTCACCGAGACAATCATTTTCTTTACCTGAAAAAGACAGAGAAACATGGTCCTGGGAATCACTGTCAACTTCGCACATTTTGCTTTTATGATATTCATTGCTTTGACCCGTATAACCATTAGCAGTAGCCTTAAACTGTTCATGAAATTTCTTATGAAAGCTGAGATGTGCTCTAGTGTAAAACACTATGTTACACTCATCACATGTATAATTCTTTGAAGGTCTCTGAGCTTTCTTTCTTTCAGTTACAAACTCGAGCTGCTGCCCTTGGCATGTTTCTTCGTCTGCATGTAATCTTCTATGTCTCTCTAACTCTGTGGCGCTTGTGAATGCTGACTGGCAAAACTCACAGGAATATGGTTTAGCCCCCGTGTGCAAGTAGCTATGCCTTACCATGCTTGCAAAATATAACGAAAAAAAGGGGCAAAACCTGCACTGGTACAGCTTATACCCAGCATGCCAGTACAAGTGATTTAGCAGACAGGTCAAGCTAACGCAGGAGTAATCACACTGAGGACACTGGTAAGGTGGTTTCTCTTTATGTTCCTTTATGTGATGAATAAAAATCCTAGGATTTGATGAAGAAAAGAAACAGATTTTGCAGGAAAAACTAACTGGCACACCCACAGGTGTAAAGTCTCTTTCGATTTTGATGAAAAATTTCTCATATTTACTTTCTTTTTTCTTGGTCTTCGATTTTCTTTCTTCAGATCTTCTCTGCCTAACTTTTTTTGCATTTGTTCTGTTTTTCCTTGCCTTTTGCAACCTAGTAATTTTCTTATGAAATTTAAGGTGATTCTTTAGGTTGATAGGAAAGAAAAAGGTTCTTTTACAAAAGCAGCATTTATGTATTCTCTTATCTTTATGAGCTGAATAAACATGTTTCTTTAGACGTGCACTGCATTTATACACAGAACTACAAAACCTGCACTTCAAATTCAACCTTTCATGCTTATTTATAGAACAAGATGCTTCAGAAAGAGGTTTGATGGTCACACTATTATTTAGCCATGCTAAATCTTCTTGCTGGCTTCGGAGTTCTTTCAGGTTTGCAGAAGCAGAAACAACTTTTTGTTGCCGGTATCTTTTTCTGGGAAATGGCGTTAATGTCTTATAAATATGCTCTCCAGTAGTATTTGATTCATCAGAAGTGGAAGTGTTCATCTCTGGTTTCCCTACGTCTTTTAGCAATTCTTCTGAAGTAGGAGAACATCCATTAAGAAATGGAGCAGAACAGTCATAGGTAAATTTCGGTTCTTCTTTCAAGCCATGTTTCAAAAGAGAACTCAGAGTTTCATCTTCAAATTTGCTTCTCTTTCTTTTTCTGTTATTAGCTTCACTATCTCCATTCTCTGAAGAATCTGGATCTACAGGGAGATAAAGACACATGTGTGATGTTTCATACAATTACCAATGTTCATGATTAACTGGTAGTAATGATTCCAAATTACCTAATGACTTGCTTGCTCTTCACTCCTTTTGCTTCCTTAATATTTTCCTATCCCTACTTCTTTCCTAATGTCTCTCTCCATGTTTCCTCCCCCAACATTATTTAAATGTTTTAAGAGAAGAAATCCTAGTTAGGAGTGTCATTCTTTCCACTTCCTCTTTTCACTCAAAGCTCTGAATTTCACAGAACAACAAACAGTACGTCCCCTACAGTTTTTAATTAAACAGCTTTATGCCAGAATTCCTACGAAAGTACTGTCACCAAACTTTGCTAGGGCTCCATTCTCGCAAGTATGATACTCGTTCTGCTGTCTTTTGTCTGTTAGAAGTGAAAGTACTCTTAGTACCTATGCCTTTCTTCCTGAAGGACTTCCATCTGCTATGAAGAACAGTGGAGTTTAAACATAAATTATAGAATCACAGAATCATAGAATGGTTAGGGCCGGAAGGGACCTTCAAAGGTCATCTAGTCCAACCCCCCTGCAAGGAACAGGGATATCTCCAACTAGATCAGGTTGCTCAGGGCCTCATCCAACCGGGCCTTGAATGTCTCCAGGGATGAAGCATCCACCACCTCTCTGGGCAACCTGTTCCAGTGCTCTACAACTCTCATGGTAAAAAATTTTTTCCTAATATCCAACCTGAATCTACCTCCCTCTATTTTAAAACCATTACCCCTTGTCCTATCACAACTGGCCCTCCTGAACAGCCTCTCCCCATCTTTCTTGTAGGCCCCCTTGAGGTACTGGAAGACCGCTATAAGGTCACCCCAGAGCCTCCTCTTCTCCAGGCTGAACAGCCCCAACTCTTTCAGCCTGTCCTCATAGGAAAGGTGCTCCAGCCCTCTTATCATCTTCATGGCCCTCCGCCGGACCCTCTCCAACTGGTCCATGTCCTTCTTATGTTGGGGACTCCAGAACTGGACGCAATACTCCAAGTGAGGTCTCACGAATTATGCCTCTCCCAGTCTCTGCTTATATCGACAGGCATTACTGCCTGTTGGTTTTCTCTCCCTAATATCTCTAACCGGTATAAAAAAAACCTTTAATGTAATCAGATAATTTCATCAGATTTTTTTCCCTAATGAAAGGCCACCCTTTTGCAAACTGCAGCAGAATGAACAGTATTAATTTATTGTAGTGTCACTACTTTTCACAGGAGCCTGGGAAAGAACTAAGAGTACTCCAGTCAATATTCTCTTTCTGCTGCATACAATATTAATCTATGTTGAAATGCTTAGTCTAAAATAAACAAGTTTGGCGTTTTTTCTATACACTTTCCTACCTATTTCAAAAACTTAGGATTTACCAGATTTCCTAAACTCTTGCACTAGTCTTACTAACAAGTTACCTTCAGCTTGAACAATTGTCTCCGTCTCCTTGCAGATTTCTGGTTGTGTCTCTTGACTGCCATCAGCAAGAGCACTTGCAACACTGGTAAGTTCCCCTTCGTGTCTGGGTATCGCTGCCAATGTCAACTGCCTGCTTGGCTCGATGGTCTCATCTCTACCCTCACTGCCAGGTGAGGAGAGGAGAGAAGTCTTCTGAAAGTTGTCATCACCATCACTTTCTCTTCTGTCACTGGCTTCATTTACCTCTGTAAGTTCTGTTTTGCAAGACAATGTAGGTGACACACAATTCTGACTATAATTATTCATGCCTGTGTCATGCCAATCACTTAGAGATAATTTCGGTCTGTTACACACGCTCTCAGCAGCATACTTCACTTCGGAGTACTTCATGGTATTATCCTCATTTGAATCAGTCTTGTTTTCTTCGCAAACGCTTAAACTGTTGCTGTCATTCGAAGGAGTCACATTACTTTTTAGGAAATCGCTATCGCTTACATCAACCTTCTGCTCACCCTCCTCCTCCAACTTGGGAACCGACGCTGCTTTCTCCTCAGCGTCATCTTGGAGAAAATCGTCGTCGCTCAGCACAAAGACAGTGATGGGGAGAACAATTTCGAAGACATCCGACTCTGGGAATGGAAAAAGACGGCATTAATTCCGTCTCCAAAACACCCGAAGCGAGCGCGGACCACCGACCCGCGCTGCGCCGGCGCGCCGCCCAGTGCGCGTGCGCATGCGCACAGCGCCCCACTCGCGCCGACCCCTCCCATCCACCCG